ATGGGCTGCTAGCACACTGCAGTGGTGGTAATAACTAAGTAGATTTACTCTCGAGTACTGTAGGCTACTTATTTTGAGGTACTTAAGTATTTCCACTTTTGCTTCTTTGTAATTCTGCTCCTCTACAGTCCAGAGGTAATGGTGTACTTTTACTCCACTACATGTATTTAATACCTTTAGTTACTTTACAGATCTGGATTAATGATGTGAAATATAATCAACTCTTAAATCAGACTTTAGTTACACCTGGAGTTAAGGAAGTCGAAAACTGTGCATTTCTCCGTATGAATATGATGCCTTTTGGCCAGCTGATGGACAGATTGCTCGTGTTTCCGCGAAGATACTTATGGCAAACGAGCATTGGAGCATCGAGCCTTGTATATTGTCACTTTTGAACGCTCTGTTCTCCCAGCCACCGGCAGATCTCTGTGTGCACGGTGCTGCAGCGAGTCTGACGAGAGAGAGTAAAGAGAGAGAGAGAGATCTCCCCACCGACCACGTTAGATGTCAACTTTGTTGATTTGGGCATTATAGCTGAAAGGCTTGTCGTGGGCTCGTCCACTTTTCTTAAACTGCCGGTTGCGTTGCCATTTTAATTGATTTTACGAGCAAACAATGTTTTTTTACAACTTCTTCCCAAACTTCATGCGACCCCCCTGCAATAGCGCTGCGTTCAAAACCTGAACGCAGCCATGCGATGGTATGGCAAGCTAATATTTTCAAAGGCAGACAGAACATTTTTGTAGCCAAATCCAGATTTTTATAAACGCATAGTTGAATCTCCCTGCATGATAACAAAGATAACTACGCTTTGATATAAACGCTCTTACTTCCGGTTTCGCCTGAATTAAATTGTTCTCTGTTCGCTCAGTTATTTCATGTTTTAGCCTATCTTGTAAAATATATTTGTATCGCAATTTCGTCATAATTCATATTTCATAATGATATTACCACAACCTTGTTCTATGGTTGTGTATGTTCTGCAGAGGAAACCTCCAAAAATACAGGCTACAATTTATATATATAATTATATCATTTTTATAGAGACGTCGATAGCAAATACATATGTTTTTTTTTACAATATATTTTTTATAAAATATAGCATATTCTTACATTATATTTCTTTATTACAATGTTACGTTGTATTGGTTTGTTTTTGTGGGGATACTGCTCTCTTACAAACTCTTTGATAATGCTGTACTGCCATTGGCTGGTTGACACCATATCCCACAATGCCCCGCTTTTACACTTCCTTTTTCCTTTCGGCCATTTTCTTTCCTCATAGGTATGTTACATTTATCTCTTCAAATTTTAAAAGAATCTGGTTCAATCCTAGGTATTTTATCTTTATTTGTCAGTTTATTTTACAACATTAGATGGAGTGTTTTGTCACCTTTGCAAAAAGGTCATTATTGTCATAAGACGTTATCGTAGAATTGCAGAACCACGTCTACTTTGTAGCCATACCCGCTCAAGCTGTGTTTGTGACTGTTAGCATTGCTGTTAAGAGGCCACATTGTTCTTAATATTGTAATATCCCTGAAAACAATATGAGCACACGTTACCAATGTTCACATTGAAATGATTAGTTATTATGGAATTTAGCAGCCGGTCACGGGAATTGACCAAGAAAACAGTCGTTGACCTGCTAGCTTAGCATCTCAACCACAGCCCCTGGTCCTCACGATGGTGTGCCAGCATGACAGTCTGCTAATGTCCGTGTGCCACGCTGTGTTTCAGGGAAGTAGGCAACCATGGCACCCAGCCGGAATGGAATGCTCCTGAACCCTCACTTCCACAAAGACTGGCAGAAAAGAGTGCGCACCTGGTTCAACCAGCCAGCCAGGAAGATCCGCAGGTGAGAACTACACTGCTTCAATTTGCGATGCTAACTTCAGCTAACACGCTTTACAGTCGCATATTGCACTGTTGGCAGTGAAACATCTTAACTATGCTTTTTTTTAATGAAGTGTAACTGCATCAGTACGTTGTGTGTGCAAACGTGTAGACATGCCATCTAACCTAAATGTTGTGGGTGCTTGGGTTCGTATTGGTTTTAACATCACCCCAATCCTGGTTCTTCTGGCTTGACCTATTTAAGTTAGATTTGATTTTAAGGTGTACTTATCTTTGAAAGCATGTCTTTCTCTACCTGGCCCTAAACTATAAAGCAGACATGTAGACACCAAAAGAGCCAGTCCTTAGCCTCAGATCCTCAGGTTTGGCCTTTCTAGCTGTTCAAAAGATGCCACAAGTCTTGCTGAATCAGTTGCCTTTTGGTCGAAACCTGTTTAATTGAATTATAATTGACATAAGAACCATCTTTTTGTGTTTTGCATCACCAGTCATATGATGAAAAATCTCCGGAATCTCTGTATTTACTTGATGAATATTTTGAACCTATTATCTGATGACTGATGTGTTTTGCCTTTTGATGGGTTTCTGTTCAATTGTCTTCCAGCTGTATCCTTAAAGGGGTTTGAGGACATTACCTAATCTGTGCAGTAATTATTTATATATGTTATTGATGTAATATTTAAATACAGGAGCCCCCGCCATTCTGTTACTTGCCTTATTTCATGGTTAAGAGACACGTATTGTCGTTAAGAAGTCCTTTAGTCTCTGGGACTGAACGGGTTAGTTGGTTACTGTCATTTTGACTAAAATGCCTCTTTCTTCAGGCGAAATACTCGTCAGGCTAAGGCCCGTCTCATCGCGCCCCGTCCTGTGGCTGGCCCTTTAAGGCCTCAGGTCCGGTGTCCCACCATCAGGTACCACACCAAGGTCCGTGCTGGACGTGGCTTCACTCTGGAGGAACTCAAGGTAATGTCTTGTATTTGTCCAATAGATAGTTCACATGCACAAATAGTTAATCCGCAATGTAACTCTTATATCCCAAAATACTGCGCAACGTTTGAAAACGTTGAATTAATTGATTCCATTAGTGACTGATTTATGTTGTGTGGGTGGTCGGGCAGAAACTTTTTGATTTGATCAGCTTGGCTAAAAGTCTAAAGCGTAGCATCAAGGTGACCTCCACCCCAGAAATTCTATTGACTACTTAAGATACAAAACTAATCGAGCTCAACTCTCACGCAGCCCACCTAACCAAAATACACAACAAAAAGCTGCAAAAGAACAAAGTCCTGCTTCCAAGACTTGCTGCTCTTGCCAAACTCTACCTTTACTTTCCACCTCTGTAATCCTGTACTGTGGGAGGAAGGCTAAATGAATGTTGGTGTGAATCACCCAAAAACATGTGGACGTGCACGTTTTTCTTCCAGGTGGGCAAACACGAGTAATCGTAAAAGTGTTTGTTGCCTAGTCAACTTTGTACGTTATACAGCATTTATAAAACTAATTGCGTCGGTGAGATCTCACCTTTATAAAAACACACCGTTTATTTAAATCACCAATTGCAAATGTAAGTTGTATAAGGAAACTAATGCCCATTGTGTGGGGAAAGCACAAGTCACATTCTGGAGTGTTATCCTCTGCGTCATCCTTTCAAGATGGCCACAGCATATTTCTCCCAACCTAAAGAAAGGAGTGGGCTGTGCCCCACCTTGTTAGGTTAAAGTGTGGAGTCATTAGAGTGCATGTATCTGCACTTGCAGCTCTACCAGCATGTCTTCATTTGCAGAAATGTAAAAAAAACCGTATTTTTGTGTTTAGCATCTTCAGTCAGATGATGATAAATCTCCGGAATCTCTGTATTTACTTGATGAATACTTTGAACCTATTATCTGATGACTGTTCCTTCTGCTATCAGAAACCCAAATGGACTGTCACATATTGGACATCAGTTATCTGAGTTGTGTTTAAAACATTTAGCTGTTTTCCTCACTACAGGCAGCTGGCATCCACAAAAAGACAGCCCGCACCATCGGCATCTCCGTCGACTCTCGCCGTCGCAACAGATCCACAGAATCTCTTCAGGCCAACGTGCAGCGACTGAAGGAGTACCGCTCCAAGCTCATCCTGTTCCCCAGGAAGGCTTCTGCTCCCAAGAAGGGAGACAGCTCGGTAAGATTCTTTTATGGTGCTGCATAAAGTTCAGACTGTTGTTGTGCTTAATAACCAACTATGGTTTTGATTTGTGACTCATTTTCCTGAGAGAAAAAAAGTATTAAAACATAATTCAAAGACACGTGGTCTGTAGGAGTGAGTCATCTCTCAAAATCAAACAGTGCAATTTGAGACCTTGCCAGTGTTTGTTTACCTTTCCTCCATCTTATCAAAATGTAATCAACAGCTTTTGAACAAGCTTTTACAAGTAATTTATGCAAACTAAAAGAACCCTGTATTGTATTTGTTCCTTTTTAAAATAAGTTTAAAGATGTGCTTTGGGGGAGCTCAAATAATGAGTCCTAACTTGTGTACTCTGCACTTCCAAGTCATTAGTTCCTCCCCCTTATCCCTGCAGTACACCACTATGAGCAGAACGGATTGCTGCCCTGCTTTTGTGAAAGATCATAACTTGAATTCTTAGTTGCATGTATTTGTTGGGTTGTTTGTATTACTTGACTGAGGACCTGTAATGTTCCAATCTTAGACTAAGGTTTGAAGAACACTGCGTACTGCTGCTCTCACATTGCAGTTCACCTTTAATTATACAGCCTTTTAGAGTTTTTGACCTCACTCAAATTCTTGTAATGGCAGGATTTTTGTTTAGCCACCTTACTGAGTGATATGGATATTTTGTTCCCTGAATAATTAACTGTTTCCATCTTTTCAGGAGGAGGAACTCAAGATGGCCACTCAGCTCGGTGGTGCAGTCATGCCCATCAAGAACGTAAGTACCCGACACATCTATATTAACATGAATCAGGAAGGATTATCAGATCACTGGAAATAAAAGTGATTTGTTTTAGGTGGCTTTTTAATAGCTTTCATTGAACGGGCTGGATTTAGTCACTAGACTTTATACGTCGTCAGTGATGATTCTTGAAAGAAAAAAATTCAAATAATTTGTTATTCTGTATCACGCAGTCAGGTGATGATACATCTCCGGAATCTCTGTACTTCTTTGATGACAAACGTGAACCCCTTTTCTGATGACTGCTTTTTAAAATCTAGCTTGAAAAACAAATTGGTTGTCCCAAAATATGATCCATTACACTAGGCTTCTATTTGCATACAGTAACTTATTAGCGGGAGTCCGTCCTTTTAGAGACACAATGATCACGCAATGTGTTCACCCTTTTTCTTCTTTATTCTCCCAGGTGCACAAAACCGAGAAGGCTCGTGTTATCTCTGAGGATGAGAAGAACTTCAAGGCCTTCGCCAGCCTGCGTATGGCTCGCGCCAATGCTCGTCTCTTCGGCATCCGTGCCAAGAGAGCAAAGGAGGCCGCCGAGCAGGACGTGGAAAAGAAGAAGTAAAAATAGTTGCTATGGAACTTTGAAAAATAAAGTGTGGAAAAAAGATCAGTGTGAGAATGTCATGATTATTATTTAATAGTAAGAGTTGTCAAGGAGCATCACAGCAGATACTTTTATGGTTGATTCCCAAACATGGATCACTTTAACCTTCAAGGTATCAAGAGGGTTTCTATATGCTATCAAATGTGTTTAATGTTTGCTCAGAACTATGGTTAGTAAAAAAATAAGTTTTTTGAATATAAACTATTCTTTTTATCATAACATTTTAATTTGGAACCGGGTGTTTGGAGGGGGGGGGGGGGGGGGGAGGAAAAACAAACCAGACATTTCTAAGAGCCTGATAGCTAAAATCAGAGTGGAGCTTACTAGAATGAATGGACCCTGATCATAGCAGACCTCAGGACTCGTCATGATTAAGGAAAAGCTCAGTGATGGCTCCCATCTGTTGTTGTGTGCCAGCAAGCACTCTGGAGACCCTGAGGCCCCTGGAGGAAGTAAGTCAAGTGTGGGATCTTTTGGTGATTTTCTTACCCCGATGTGTTAGTTGGTTAAAAAGGCTGCACAATAAAATATTTTCCTTAACCATCAAAAGTTTAAGTCCTGACAGCTGTAGAGTTTTAAGCAGTTAATACAAAATATAAAACAACTACTTATTCCCTCTCAATATACCTAGAGATGTATCTGATTTATAAATTAGTGTATTTATGTAGTATAAGCTAAAAACAAATGTTAACAAAAGTCCTCACTCTATATTGGGCTCATTTACAGCAGTAGATGGCGCTAGTCACAACATGTAACGCATGGAGACAACATTTAGGAGCATGGTTTGTTGACTAATTGCGGAATATCACATCTATTGTTGAAACATCTGGACTTTTAATGGTTATTAACATGACGAGACTCTTGCATTGCCCTGTTTTTTCACATTCCCACCTCTATTTTTGCCCTAAATCTAAGTCTAAATTGCCCGGTTAAGAGCCAACTTTTTGAGTCGGGTTGCCAGAAATTATAGAAAAAAGTACAGTCTGAACAGTTGAGGGCGACCCAGGTACAGCATCTTGACATGACAGACTATAATATTAAAAGAACACATGTTATCTACAGCATGTTAATGTACAGGAGGTTGGAAAAGTGGCGGAGTGTCTGAGGCAGAGGAAAGTCAGAAGAGGTAGAAAAGCCAGTAAAAAATCTCATCCCAGTGGGACACTTTCACTCGATTTTTCTACAGAAGTTTGTGCTGCTAGAACCAAAATGGACTGTTAAAATGAAACATTGCCATGACAACTAAAACTCCTGACATTTGTAAACCATATGTGCGTGTTTGGTGTGCTGTGGTGTGACAATGAATAAATACAAAGTTAAACAAAACACAATTGCCGAGAAATTCCCCGTTGAGTAAGGTAGGCCATTTGTAATGCATTAGTCATCACCATTTGAATATCCACTTTCACAAAAATGATCCCAAGTCGAGAATACACAGACCTAAACTGAATGTCCTTGTCTGTGTCTCCTTAAGTGTCTCTGTGTTCTAGCTGTCTGAACGCATATAAATAATTCAGTAAATGAAGGTGAGTGGACAGTCAGGACCAGGGGTGATGGATATGGCTGATATGGAAACTAAAATGGCCGGTCCTTTTTTAACCCTTTTTGAAGATAGGGTACTGCAAAACACAAATGTTAAAGGACACTATATTGTGTGAATAATTTCCTATAATCATCCTCCTTTATCAGTGTAAAGACAACCATTAACGACTTTCATTCACCTCGTGAATTTAGATGAACCACATTATTCAAGCAAACCAGATAACACACAAGTCAAAAACCTGTGAACTTGATGTTAATGGTTTAATTCCTTAGATTTGATAAAAAATCAAGGAGGGGGTTATGTTAATTAAATGTAGCCTATAAAAGACCGACTCAAAGCTGAAACTTTAAAGTCAGCTATTCAGGCAGTCCATTGACAGGAAATTCATTTGAGTATTTAACCAACACTAAACATTATTACCCTTTTAATATTTCCTACTTGGGTTACTTAATTATATTCCCCTATTCAACTGAAATCAATCAGGTTAAGTGTGAGCTGACATCCTGCAGTATCAGCCCTGTGATCAATTTGGTGTATCGTGTTTACACTTTAAAAATTGAACTGATGACTTCATGACCGCAGTACTTGTCAGGTCAGTAAGGCAGATATAATGATGACAAGAGCCGACCTGTGGAGTTAACATTGCTGTTCACTGAGCCTGCTGAAACACAAGCTCCGTGATTGATTAACTTTAACAGGGATGAAGAAGCAAGATGTTAGAATCAATAGTGTTGCTGAAAATCTATTTGAGGCCTTAAAAAAAAAACTGTGGATGATGTTAGACAAACACCGGAGCTAGTTTGACCAAAATGATGACTGCGTCAGGCCATGTCTTAAGATCTTGCTAATTTGGATATTGTACACGCAATGTGGTCAGTGAGTGTGGAGAATCAGTGGGGGGGAATGGATAATCCATGTGGAAACGCAGGAAAGGTCCTGTGAGGTGCTGATCCGAAGCAGTGGCAGATGGCTGTTGTTTGGAGCTGTGGCGTAACAGGGCTCAGGTGTGTGCCTTAAAGCAGACAATTCCTAGTGACTCTGAATACCCATGGAAGAAGAGGCAGTGAGGTTGAAAAAAGTGACTTTGGGCGATGTCAGAAACCATTCAGTTTCCACTTCAAACTCAGTGTGTGCAGATCCAGGCGTGGATATGTGACTTTAGTTTAAATAGTTTTAGTAATGATATCAACCTTTAGGGAAAATGAGTTGGTTCTGTGTGTTGTTCGGTGTCTAAGTTGCATGTTTATCATCTTAACAGTGCAGATAATTAAAAAGCAGGGAACCAAATTCTCTATTTTTCAAGCCCTTGTTATAATTTGATTAATCTGCCCGTCTGCATCCTCATTTTAGCTAAAAGCCGAGTGGCTCAACTCTCAAAGCATCAGCCGTGCCCTCTTGAAATCAAAGACAGTTGTAATTCTGCCAAGCTCTAATGTAAAATACAATGTTCATATTCTCAGAAGGACACTTAAAAATCAGGAAGAAGCCTTCAGGAATAAAATACCACGAAAGCTACTAATTTATTTCACCATAAATTGAACTACACTGGCTGTTTTAAACAGTCAACCAAAAGCTTTTATTTTTGCTTTGCACTTTATTCTGATGAACCCAAACTTCCCAAATCATCGTGTGTATTTCTCCAGCTGCATTGTCCTTCACTTCTGTTTTGCAGAAACTTGAGGGCTGCTGTTTTGGCAGTGCAATCTAACAATCTATAAACGTTATGCAATGCCTGGAAATACATTCATGAAAATAATACATTTGTGGGTGGACTGTGAAAAGGTTCAAGCATAAACGTTGTCTAGAAACAATACATTATGTAACATACATTGCTGTCAAAAAAAAATCCACAGAATGAATCAGCTCATGATCATTTTGATGTGAGGGACATTAGACTTATGTGTGTGTGCATGCAAACATGTGTGCATGTTTAATAAAGCTTAGAGAGCGGGAGGTCACAAACCCTCATTGTCTGGAGCTCGCTCATGCAGATATGATTATGATGTGCTGCTGAATGATGATCCATCCTTTAAGTTCCTGTTGAATTCTCTGTGAAATGTCTCACATTTGCATCCCTAGCATTTATATTATTGAGGTGACACAAAGCCTGCCAGAGCCAGTTGATTAAGGCAGGAATTGCCTTTTTTTCTGAGTGCAAATGTATAAACTATAGATTCTTGGGAGAGAATTCCCATCTGGTTTAACTTTTTATGTGATGATGTGGCCACACTTCTCATTTTCGATTATGAGCATGTTGTTGGAGCATTTGTGTATATAGTGTAAAATGCTTACCCACTATAGGCAGAACATGCAATATGTAAACATGATCATAATGCTAATGAGAGATGCTTACATACAGCCATGCTCAGTGTGACACTTTAATTACAGTAGGCTGAGGCTGGAGAGAAATCAGATTGATATATCTATCTAAATATATATTGATTCCCCTCTATTGAGCCAGCAGAGGATTATTTGTGCAAAGAGATTAACTTCAAATCAAAGGAAGCGTAAAAGATACTGCTAAACATCTAAATGTATTAATTCAGCTCAGGAAATGACAGCCATACTCATGATCAATAACAGCAATCAAAATGCATTTTGTGTCTAGTTATTAAAGGTCGATTTTGTCCTGAACTCTGAATAATCGAGTCCCAATGAAAGCCCCATCCTTACATCAGCAGCTGGACTCTCTCCACTCCCATCTCTCTGCAAGCCGAGCCTCCCTCCTCACTAGTCCAACCAATGAGTGTCGGCGGAGAGGGAGAGGAAAAGAATCAAGCGGTGTGTTATGGGAGAGATTTTAAAACAACTGTGTTCAAGAGTAAAGAACAACGACAGGTAGGAAGTGACTTTGTCGCTCTTAACTTGGTCTTCAGCAGTTTAATCGATTTGAGAAAGGATTATATTGCGTTTGGCTGTTTATTTTTCAATCAGCTCTATATTTCCTTATCGGAAGTGTGTAATATAATGACACGCGCTGTTATCAAAGTAGCGCGTTCGTTTTTAGTTCGATGCTTTGCTAATTGTGAGG